GCAGAGCTCTTCTTCTGTGTTACATACTCCTGACCCCTGCACTCTGTGTTGTGTACTCCTGACCCCTGCACTCTGTGTTATGTACTCCTGACCCCTGCACTCTGTTATGTACTCCTGACCCCTGCACTCTGTGTTATATACTCCTGACCCCTGCACTCTGTGTTATGTACTCCTGACCCCTGCACTGACCCCTGCACTCTGTGTTATGTACTCCTGACCCCTGCACTCTGTGTTACATACTCCTGACCCCTGCACTCTGTGTTATGTACTCCTGACCCTGACCCCTGCACTCTGTGTTATGTACTCCTGACCCCTGCCCTCTGTGTTATATACTCCTGACCCCTGCACTCTGTGTTACATACTCCTGACCCCTGCACTGTGTGTTACATACTCCTGACCCCTGCACTGTGTGTTATATACTCCTGACCCCTGCACTCTGTGTTACATACTCCGGACCCCTGCACTCTGTGTTACATACTCCTGACCCCTGCACTGTGTGTTACATACTCCTGACCCCTGCACTGTGTGTTATATACTCCTGACCCCTGCACTGTGTGTTACATACTCCTGACCCCTGCACTGTGTGTTACATACTCCTGACCCCTGCACTGTGTGTTACATACTCCTGACCCCTGCACTGTGTGTTTACATACTCCTGACCCCTGCACTCTGTGTTATGTACTCCTGACCCCTGCACTCTGTGTTACATACTCCTGACCCCTGCACTCTGTGTTATATACTCCTGACCCCTGCACTGTGTGTTACATACTCCTGACCCCTGCACTCTGTGTTATATACTCCTGACCCCTGCACTCTGCAATACATAATGTTGCCACACTATGCAGAACACTGGAGCAGGAAGCCTGTCTATGTGACGACATATCTGCCCCGACTACATACATGACAATGACGTGTTCTAGAACATTCCCGCGCTGATAATACGACTTTCATTACGCCAACCCCATGTACACATATGACCTAAAAACCGTAAAAAACATACTTCCCCTTTAACACGCCAGCGCTCTAAATTCAGGACGGAGCTGAAAAGGAGAAACAAATAATCGGCGGCCGAGCGCCGTCCGTTTCTGGGGCTGATTGTGGCGGAACAATGAGAAGAATGCGGGAAAAAATAAAAGCGTCTCCCAGCAGCAGAGGAGACAAAAGGGAAGCGCCGGGAGGATACACGCGTGTTACACGGAGTGGAAACGTCTCCCCAGACACTCGCCGCTCTCTATAACATCATCGCTAAATTAGCCGCATCAAAGCGCCACGAATCGCTCTGCGGCGAAACCTTTCCTACGTGCCGCTGACCAATGCCAACCGCCGCTGGAGAGCAGACCGATCCTGGCGGAACCCGCGGAGGTTCCGGACATCGGCCGCCAGACTCCGATACTTTGTTGGCTTTTGTTGGTTACTTTGTAAACTGTTCTTGTATATCGGGGACTGAAATCTACCAGAGGGGGGGAGGGCAGCTAGGAGGGAAGCAATGGGGGGGGGCATGGCAGAGCGCGGGAAAGGGGCGGAGCAAGACGGACGGTGACGCAGAGTCAGTCGCACATCATACCGCCATGTCTTCACTCATCAGATGCTGAAATGAAGGATTGGATGGGACCATCGAACCTGAAGAATCTGCACCCAGAAAACGAAACGTCTCTACACCATACCAACCAGAGTTGAAGCTGTTATAGGTGCAAAGGGTGGGGCCAACTCAATACTGAACCCTACGGACTAAGACTGGGGGCCATTAAAGGTCATGTGTGTGGAAAGGGCGGGGCCAACTCAATATTGAACCCTACGGACTAAGACTGGGGGGCCATTAAAGGTCATGTGCGTGGAAAGGGCGGGGACAACTCAATATTGAACCCTACGGACTAAGACTGGGGGGCCATTAAAGGTCATGTGCGTGGAAAGGGCGGGGACAACTCAATGTTGAACCCTACGGACTAAGACTGGGGGGCCATTAAAGGTCATGTGCGTGGAAAGGGCGGGGACAACTCAATATTGAACCCTACGGACTAAGACTGGGGGGCCATTAAAGGTCATGTGGGTGGGAAGGGCGGGGACAACTCAATATTGAACCCTACGGACTAAGACTGGGGGGCCATTAAAGGTCATGTGTGTGGAAAGGGCGGGGCCAACTCAATATTGAACCCTACGGACTAAGACTGGGGGCCATTAAAGGTCATGTGTGTGGAAAGGGCGGGGACAACTCAATATTGAACCCTACGGACTAAGACTGGGGGGCCATTAAAGGTCATGTGGGTGGGAAGGGCGGGGGACAACTCAATATTGAACCCTACGGACTAAGACTGGGGGGCCATTAAAGGTCATGTGCGTGGAAAGGGCGGGGCCAACTCAATGTTGAACCCTACGGACTAAGACTGGGGCGCCATTAAAGGTCATGTGCGTGGAAAGGGCGGGGCCAACTCAATATTGAACCCTTTGGACTAAGACTGGGGGCCATTAAAGGTCATGTGTGTGGAAAGGGCGGGGCCAACTCAATATTGAACCCTACGGACTAAGACTGGGGGCCATTAAAGGTCATGTGTGTGGAAAGGGCGGGGCCAACTCAATATTGAACCCTACGGACTAAGACTGGGGGGCCATTAAAGGTCATGTGTGTGGAAAGGGCGGGGCCAACTCAATATTGAACCCTACGGACTAAGACTGGGGGCCATTAAAGGTCATGTGTGTGGAAAGGGCGGGGCCAACTCAATATTAAACCCTACGGACTAAGACTGGGGGGCCATTAAAGGCCATGTGCGTGGAAAGGGCGGGGCCAACTCAATATTGAACCCTACTGACTAAGACTGAGAGCCCATGAGAGGCCATGTGTGTGGAAAGGGCGGGGCCAACTCAATATTGAACCCTACGGACTAAGACTGGGGGGCCATTAAAGGTCATGTGGGTGGGAAGGGCGGGGCCAACTCAATATTGAACCCTACGGACTAAGACTGGGGGGCCATTAAAGGTCATGTGCGTGGAAAGGGCGGGGCCAACTCAATATTGAACCCTACGGACTAAGACTGGGGGGCCATTAAAGGTCATGTGGGTGGGAAGGGCGGGGGGGCCCAATACTTTTGGTAATATAGTGTATTCAAACATGGAAACTCATTCACCCAAATACTTCAATGATTACAAGAGATGTTCATTCCTGGTATTTTTGAACGGATTATCAGCTTGACCATGAAAATGCCTCCTCCTCCTTCTACAAAGTTACAATGTACAGTCTGATCACTGGGGGAGGAGACTGAGGAAATGCCTCCTCCTCCTTCTACAAAGTTACAATGTACAGTCTGATCACTGGGGGAGGGAGGGGAGACTGAGGGAATGACTCCTCCTCCTTCTACAAATTTACAATGTACAGTCTGATCACTGGGGGAGGAGACTGAGGAAATGCCTCCTCCTCCTTCTACAAAGTTACAATGTACAGTCTGATCACTGGGGGAGGGAGGGGAGACTGAGGGAATGACTCCTCCTCCTTCTACAAATTTACAATGTACAGTCTGATCACTGGGGGAGGGGAGACTGAGGAAATGACTCCTCCTCCTTCTACAAAGTTACAATGTACAGTCTGATCACTGGGGGAGGAGACTGAGGAAATGCCTCCTCCTCCTTCTACAAAGTTACAATGTACAGTCTGATCACTGGGGGAGGGAGGGGAGACTGAGGGAATGACTCCTCCTCCTTCTACAAATTTACAATGTACAGTCTGATCACTGGGGGAGGAGACTGAGGAAATGCCTCCTCCTCCTTCTACAAAGTTACAATGTACAGTCTGATCACTGGGGGAGGGAGGGGAGACTGAGGGAATGACTCCTCCTCCTTCTACAAATTTACAATGTACAGTCTGATCACTGGGGGAGGAGACTGAGGAAATGCCTCCTCCTCCTTCTACAAAGTTACAATGTACAGTCTGATCACTGGGGGAGGGAGGGGAGACTGAGGAAATGCCTTCTCCTCCCTGCAGCAGACTGATGACATCATCCCAGCCTAGGCAGAGTCCCGGACTAGAGCTGACGGTCGGCTTTTACTGATAGAGGGTGGAGTTGTCACCCCTCAATGCTGCGGGAGGCGCTGTAGGTTGGGGCTTGTCCGGGATTTATTGATGGAGGTTTGTAGATTCCTCGGCCTTCTGGTCTCTGCACCCTGAGGGTCGTCTCTCTCCTCCATGCGGCTCCGGCACTCGGCACACAACGAGTGGAATATTCGCTCTTCCTGGCCGTGTCTGTGAAGTCAGCCAGGTGTGTAGATTTTCAGAGGTTTTCAGGTCAGGTTAGGGCTTGGAGCTTGGTGGGGGAGGGGGGTATTAGTGGGGGGGGCATTGGTGGGGGAAGGGAGGTATTAGTGGGGGGTTCTGGTGGGGGGGTAATTGGTGGGGGAGGGGGGGGGGTATTAGTGGGGGGTATTGGTGGGGGAAGGGAGGTATTAGTGGGGGGTTCTGGTGGGGGGGTAATTGGTGGGGGAGGGGGGGTATTAGTGGGGGGGTATTGGTGGGGGAGGGGGTATTAGTGGGGAGGGGGGGATGCCAGAACTGTCGGCGGTCGCTGTGGCTCCATTTGACGTGATGTGAAGCGACTGGCAGCGATGGCGGTCCGTGTCTCCTCTCATCATGACGCTCCATGGATGATGGAACGCTTCCCATTCCACTGATGCAGCCGCGATCTGGTCAGTGCACCCGAGCCACAGGGGGCGGATATAACACGAGTGAGGGGGGAGACTCCCTGTCAGTGTTGGATGGGGGGGAGGGATGAGACCCCCTGTCAGTGTTGGATGGAGGGGGAGGGATGAGACCCCCTGTCAGTGTTGGATGGAGGGGGAGGGATGAGACCCCCTGTCAGTGTTGGATGGAGGGGGAGGGATGAGACCCCCTGTCAGTGTTGGATGGAGGGGGAGGGATGAGACCCCCTGTCAGTGTTGGATGGAGGGGGAGGGATGAGACCCCCTGTCAGGTTTTTATTGCTGTCTGTGTCCCCGTTAGGAAGATTCCCCCTCTCTACCTTTATCAATGAACGTGATCAGGACAGGAAGTGAAGGGAAATCTTCCAATGGGGACACTAGTTCTGGTGCCAACTTGGGATTCCCTCACTTTGGAGGCATTTCCTCTCACTTCCTGTTTTGACGGCCATGGGACAGGAAGCGAAGGGAAGTCTCCCTGATGGGACAACTGATGGGTGACAACCCTCCTTTTCTCCATCCAAAATTTAAAAAAAATATTTTGCCTTTAGTTCTCCCTGAAGATTTGTTGTACCTTCCATCATGAATGGTCACCATTACAAATCAAATCATAAACACTTGGCAGAGGGTCTGACCCTCCTCTCCATCCCCCACCCTCCTCTCCCCCACTATCTTCGTAGGACCTGGCTGATGGACTCCTCACTCTTTTTTTCCGCCCCCCATTGATCTCTCCCTCGTGGAATATCCGATCGGTAACCATATCCTCGTCTCTGTTACTATTTATAATTTTTTCTGCAGACGATGTTTCCTCCTCCCCGGGAGGTGACGGCGCTCGGCGTGCGCTCTGTTCCGGGATATGTGAAGGACGCCGAGTCGCATTATTAGATCTGGCGGATAATTTATGCAGATGGAGCGGATTTCAGGTGGAAGGAGAATCTTTTTCTGCAGAGATTATTTCTAATAGCGAGACGTTCCTCCTAGTCTGAGTGATGGGAACCTCGGGAGACCTTCACCATCAATCCCTGGAGACCGGGACACCCTTTTCTGAGTCTGCAATTGTTTATTTATGTAATCTGTGCCCCGCCTCCTGCCGTGTGATGCCTTAGCACTCCCCATATTCCTGACGAGTGATATTGCCCATCCCCCCGTGCTCCCCCAGTGCCTGAAACAGAAGACTGTCCACACAGCCAGTGGTGGGTCCTCTTCTTCATCTTCTTCTTAAATCCTTAGCTGGTGATTGGGGAGCCGGTCATCCTATCAACCAATACGCTGCTATAGGTGCCACTGGATTCTGAGTGCTGTTCACGATGGGTGGCAACATGACTGGTCACGTCATTGGTCAGTTGTTGGTTCCTTAGGTCTTCTTCTGAGCCACGCCTTCTTCGGCACCATTCGTTGACCCTTCCAGTGGACAGGACTCTCACCAGAATGGTGTTCATTCGAGGCAAAACCATTGCAGTCTGTGATTCTGGATTTGCCTTCAAATGAAGGTTGATGGTGACAACTTGACCCAATTGTCTGGTTCCAATGGCAATACGAAAATACGAGTGCCAAGCTAAAACTCAGCCTGCAGGTGGCTGGACTGGAGCTTTTCATACACGATATGCAGATTGACCATCATTTTGGTCCCACATCCCGGGACATTGTTCAATCCGCCCCCTGGCTGCATTTTGTCCACCCTTTCTAGGAGAACATACCCAAATCATGCCTGCTTTACAGGTTGGTCCCATCCAAAGCCCACCTCTAAATATGTGGGGACCACTAATCATGCCTGCTTTACAGGTTGGTCCCATCCAAACCCCATCTCTAAATATGTGGGGACCACTAATCATGCGTGCTTTACAGGTTGGTCCCATCCAAACCCCATCTCTAAATATGTGGGGACCACTAATCATGCGTGCTTTACAGGTTGGTCCCATCCAAACCCCATCTCTAAATATGTGGGGACCACTAATCATGCCTGCTTTACAGGATGGTCCCATCCAAAGCCCACCTCTAAATATGTGGGGACCACTAATCATGCCTGCTTTACAGGTTGGTCCCATCCAAAGCCCACCTCTAAATATGTGGGGACCACTAATCATGCCTGCTTTACAGGTTGGTCCCATCCATGTCCCCGATCCCTGCAATTAATTACTTTTTGAGCTTTTGGGCAAATGCAGAAACACAAATGAGGTTGATGCCATGACCCTGGGACATGTCTCGGGCCACAGCATTGGTGGGACAGAAGGCTAAAATATGGGACTGTCCCAGCAAATCCAGCACAGTTGGCATGTATGTTTATGGCCAAAGGTTTTTGGACACCTGACCATCACACCTCTCTGTGATGTCCCATTCCAAAACCATTGCCACCAATATGGAGGTTCTCCGGTCTCTCCCATGGTTATTAATATGTAGATGGCCTCCTTTGTGGCTCTAACATCCTCCACTCTTCTGTGAAGGCTTTCTGCAAGATTTTGGAGGGTGTCTGTAGGAATTTGTGCCCATTTGTGAGGTCCTAATGTGGGATGAGAAGACCCAGCTCACCATCAGCGCTCCAATTCTCCCCAAAGGTGTTCAGTAGGGTTGAGGTCAGGACTTTGTGCAGGACACTGGAGTTCCTCCACACCAAACTGGTCCTCCATGTCTTTATGGAGCTGGCTTTGTACACAGAGGACAGTCATGGGGGGACAGAAAAGGGTCTTCACCAAACTGGTCATCCATGTCTTTATGGAGCTGGCTTTGTACACAGAGGACAGTCATGGGGGGACAGAAAAGGGTCTTCACCAAACTGGTCATCCATGTCTTTATGGAGCTGGCTTTGTACACAGGGGACAGTCATGGGGGGACAGAAAAGGGTCTTCACCAAACTGGTCATCCATGTCTTTATGGAGCTGGCTTTGTACACAGGGGACAGTCATGGGGGGACAGAAAAGGGTCTTCACCAAACTGGTCATCCATGTCTTTATGGAGCTGAGCTCATGGGGGAACTTTGTCTTCACCAAACTGGTCCTCCATGTCAGGAGCTCATTGGGGGACAGAAAAGGGTCTTCACCAAACTGTTACCACAAGGCTGGAAGAGCCCAATTGTCTCCAATGTCTTTGATGATGGAGGATTCCCAGGACCCGTCACTGGAGACCCCTGAGCTCCATCATTGGAGGGTTCTCATACATCTGACCGCTCGATAGGTCAGAACAAATCTGATGTTTTGTAGTTTTATCTCAGGTCAGCGGTGGGCGTTGCTTTGCGCAGTGAAGGCTCACAGAACGGACAAGATCACTGAATATTTCATTTGTTAAAAGTGAACTACAGAAGGAATCTCAGAGACGAGCGTTTTATATTAATAACAAAATCCTCTAAATAAATGATGTAACAACGGCGCTGGAGGAGTTCTGCAAGAGCGAAAATGACTCTGGAAATAGAAATGGTTCGGCCTTCGCATGCAAATCTCCTCTGTGATCAGTGCAACCCCCACCATGGAATCTGGCCTCCACCCTCCAGTTGTACTGGCTCCTCCCCTTCAATCTTGCACAGGTGTACCGGCTCCTCCCCTTCAATCTTGCACAGGTGTACCGGTTCCTCCCCTTCAGTCTTGAACAGTGGTACCGGCTCCTCCCCTTCAGTCTTGGACAGTGGTACCGGCTCCTCCCCTTCAGTCTTGAACAGTGGTACCGGCTCCTCCCCTTCAGTCTTGAACAGTGGTACCGGCTCCTCCCCTTCAGTCTTGCACAAGTATACCTGCTCCTCCCCTTCAGTCTTGTACAGGTTTCCCGGCTCCTCCCCTCAGTCTTGCACAGGTGTATCGGCTCCTCCCCTTCAGTCTTGTACAGGTGTACCGGCTCCTCCCCTTCAGTCTTGCACAGGTGTACCGGCTCCTCCCCTTCAGTCTTGCACAGGTGTACCGACTCCTCCCCTTCAGTCTTGCACAGGTGTACCGGCTCCTCCCCTTCAGTCTCGCACAGGTGTACCAGCTCCTCCCCTTCAGTCTTGCACAGGTGTACCGGCTCCTCCCCTTCAGTCTTGCACAGGTGTACCGGCTCCTCCCCCCAGTCTTGCACAGGTGTACCGGCTCCTCCCCTTCAGTCTTGCACAGGTGTACCGGCTCCTCCCCTTCAGTCTTGCACAGGTGTACCGACTCCTCCCCTTCAGTCTTGCACAGGTGTACCGGCTCCTCCCCTTCAGTCTCGCACAGGTGTACCAGCTCCTCCCCTTCAGTCTTGCACAGGTGTACCGGCTCCTCCCCTTCAGTCTTGCACAGGTGTACCGGCTCCTCCCCTTCAGTCTTGCACAGGTGTATCGGCTCCTCCCCCCAGTCTTGCACAGGTGTACCGGCTCCTCCCCTTGACTGGAATGGCTTCCTCTGATGTCACTGCACACTGGGAGCTTCTGTCTTCCTGCATTTCCATCACACGGACCTCCAGTGGGGACTATAGATGACTGAACCAAGACTTACCGGCCAAGCATGGTCCACGGTCACCATCAGAAAATCTGCCCTGAAATGCCATGTGGCCATCGCTGGAGTGCATGTAGACAGGAAACGGCTGCCAAGAGGCTTCAGGAGATCCGCAGCTCTGAGATGTCACAAAGGATGAAATGATCCAGTGTTTCAGCACAGGAAATGTCCTCCTATTCCGGTTTCTATTTACTTGCAGCAGCCAATGTCCTTGTGGTCGGTTATAAATACTTCAGGGATTTGGGAAAACTTTATTGCACATTCTTACCTGCTTCTGTTCTGTAGATTCCAGCTAGAGGTCAGACCAACCTTAGGACCAAGGTCAGGACTAAGTGGCAGCAAAGTCCCCCCCCGGCTTGTGGACTGTAATAAATGCATGTGACAGCTGTGAGCGCACACAGGGTTACAGGACGCAGTCCCCCGCTGGGCGGCTGCCCCCCTCCCCGCTCCAACGCCATTCATCATCGCGCCGCGCTTTATTCATCCCGACAAATTCTGTAATTATTCCAGCAAGGTCTCCATGGCGAAATCTCTCCACGCTGGACGCGAAACCTCAAGAACCTCGAGACAAAATCCTTCCAGGATCCAAAGTATTGTCTGCGACTTCCCCGGCGAGAGGTGACGCGTTGCCTGGAGACGCTTTACGGAAAAACTGCGCAGAGAAGGCGCCAATCATTGTAATAATAACACAAACAAAACAATCGGAATATTTCCGTAAATAAAATCCTTGTTTTCACCCTTTTTCCATCTCGGTGCTGCTGATCTCCTGCAGCCTAATCACAGCCACTTCCTGTCTACATGCACTCCACCAACGGCTGCATGGCATTTCTCAGGGCGAGCTTCCTGATGGTGACAACCCAGGGGCACAATTCGGAGATGGACAGAGCGTTGTCACCCTGTAACAGGAAATGCCTGTGTGTGGCAGCATCCAAATATTGCAGAGTCCCCTTTAAGCTTTAACCATTTCTAAAAGCGTCTGTTTGCAGCACCAGGTCATCGGCTCACTTCCTCCCCCTCATTTCCTGTGTCCCGTCCAGCAGCTGACACCCTAACTTTCATTTTCGTAGTATTTTATGTAAATGTGAAACCACAAAGGCTGATTCCTGAACTGCGCAGAATGGATTTTAAAGGTGCAAAAAGTAAAGAGGAAGTATATGCACTGAGACGTAATTGTTGATATACATCCCAGATCAAACCTACATGTATAGTCCAGCACTTGTAGTCTCCACAAGGGGCACATATGGGCAGGGTTGACAACGCAGGTGCACAGTTGGGAGACAGTTGTCACCTTATAACAGAAGTGTTCTAAACAAGGGCCATCATGCGATGGGGGGATCACCGGGAAGACTTGCAGCCAATCAAACCTAATGTTTGTCAGCACTTGTAGTCTCCACAAGGGGGCACATATGGCAGGGTGACAACGCAGGTGCACAGTTGGGAGACAGTTGTCACCTTATAACAAGGAAGTGCGCCTGAACAAGGGCATCGTGGCGGGATTCACCGGGGAGTATTCAGCAGATCAAACCTAATGTATGTCAGCACTTGTAGTCTCCACAAGGGGGCACATATGGCAGGGGGTGACAACGCAGGTGCACAGTCGGGAGAGTCAGTTGTCACCTTATAACAGGAAGTGCCCTGAAACAAGGACCATTGTGGCGGGATCACCGGGGAGTATTCAGCAGATCAAACCTAATGTTTGTCAGCACTTGTAGTCTCCACAAGGGGGCACATATGGCAGGGTGACAACGCAGGTGCACAGTTGGGAGACAGTTGTCACCTTATAACAGGAAGTGCCTGAACAAGGATCACCAGGAATCATTTTAATAAAAGAAGATTTAGATACGTCAGGATGGTAAAGCATTCTATGAGATTTTATGGATTCGGGTGACCATCTACATTTAACTCCTTGCCGCCAACTCTTGGCAGTTTACGTTCCTGGATCATATGATCACCTGTGATTGGCTACCCATGGCCGCAGTCACATGATCAGGGCCTGTCCCGCCATGATTGGAAGCAGGAGCTGTCAGTGACAGCTCATGTGCGCAGTGAGCACGCTCATCAGCACAGTACAGCGGCACCCCCCATTGATGCACATATACAGCAGCCCACCCGCCGCGCTGCGAATACGCGGGAGACCATCAGGGCAACGTTGGCGGCGTTTGGGCAGAGTGGATCGGAGTGAGGCCATAACGGGTGTGGTGGTTTAAGAGTTGACCAATGATAAGGCACCGATGGCGGTGGCCATTCCAGCGGGATCCTGATTGTATCCAATCAGGGTTCCCCCGTCTCTGGCGAGGGCGGCACCCCCACCCACCGTCTTCCAGATTACCCGGCTGTATTTTTAGAATATTGATGTCAGACTATTAGAGTCAGACAATTAACATGGAAAGCTGATTACGAAGCCGCCTAATTGGCCAGAAGCCGGAGCCCAGGAGCGCGATTTCTGCGTTCAGCTAGCCTCCACGCGGCTCCAGAAGGGTGTCGGCGGGCGCAGCCAATGGATGGCGGCAGGAGACGGACGGAATGCATCAGACGATCGGTTCTCAGCGGCGAAGTCAGTCCTCTTCCGACGCCTGCGATAAGATGATGGAGAGCGGAACACTGCGCCACAACGCTGCAAAACGCAGAACGCACGATCCAATCCGTCCAAAGTTGTGCTGGAGCGATGATACTGGCGAAGTGTGTACAGCATACACAGCGCCATTTACTGCGCCACCATCATAATGACATTCATTTCATGGAGTAAACACATAACTCTGACATTATTACCGCCAGCCGCTGTACAGTAGATCACTGTAGCCGGTCACCTGAGAGAGTGCTGAGGGGCACCATAATATCCACTCCCCACGCGAGTCCCCATTACAGTCTCATGTAACCAGAGGTGCTTTTCACTCTACTGTCCCCTCCCTCACAGTCCCATCAGTCTCTGTTCAGAGGAGCTTAACGCTCTAATGTCCCCTCCCCCCCGCGTAGTCCCATCAGTCTCTGTTACCAGAGGAGCTTACACTTAATTGTCCCTACCCCCAGCAGTCCCATCAGGTCTCTGTACCTGAGGAGCTTACGCTCTAATGTCCCCTCCCCCACCAGTCACATCAGTCTCTGTACCAGAGGAAGCTTACGCTCTAATGTCCCCTCCCCCGCAGTCCCCATCAGGTCTCTGTACCAGAGGAGCTTACGCTCTAATGTCCCCCTCCCCCGCAGTCCCATCAGTCTCTGTACCAGAGGAGCTTACGCTCTAATGTCCCCTCCCCCACAGTCCCATCAGGTCTCTGTACCAGAGGAGCTTACACTCATAATGTCCCCTCCCCCACAGTCCCATCAGTCTCTGTGTACCAGAGGAGCTTACGCTCTAATGTCCCCTCCCCCACAGTCACATCAGTCTCTGTGACCAGAGGAGCTTACACTCTAATGTCCCCCTCCCCCACAGTCTCATCAGTCTCTGTACCAAGGAGCTTACAGCTCTAATGTCCCCCTCCCCCACAGGTTACGTCCCATCAGTCTCTGTACAGAGGGAGCTTACACTCTAATGTCCCCTCCCCCACAGTCCCATCAGTCTCTGTACCAGAGGAGCTTACACTCTAATGTCCCCTCCCCCACAGTCCCATCAGTCTGTGTACCAGAGGAGCTTACACTCTAATGTCCCCTCCACCAGTCACATCAGTCTCTGTACACCTGAGGGAGCTTACACTCTAATGTGTCCCCCCCCCACAGTCTCATCAGTCTCTGTACCTGTACGGAGGAGCTTACACTCTAATGTCCCCTCGCCCCACAGTCCCATCAGTCTGTACTAGAGGAGGCGCTTACACTCTAATGTCAAACCATCCATCCTGTATATCGGTGAGTATTTATGATGCTCTTTGTCTATTGGTCCCCTCGGGGGAGGGTCTTCCTCCGGCCCGCTCTGTGATTGGAGGGTTGTAGGATCTCTCCAGTAAGACGGATGGATCCCTGAAGTGGCACCTCGGAGGTGGATCTGGGTGAGGGATCGATCGTCGCTCTCCACGCCCGGTGGGTTCTGTAGGGATCGGTGACACAGGAAGGAGGTTCTGCTCCAGGAACTGTTCTGTCCCATCGGAGCTCAGCAGTGCGCTCTACTGTGCGGGAAACTTCTCATAGAAAGTCTACTACTGGAGGTGAGTGATAACATGAAAACCTCAGCGCTGCATGAAGTAGAGCCACCCCTTTACATCAGAGTCCCCCCTTACATCAGAGTCCCCCTTACATCAGAGCCACCCCCTTACATCAGAGTCCCCCCTTACATCAGGGTCCCCATAAAAGTCCCCCCTTACATTAGAGCCACCCCCTTACATCAGAGTCCCCCCCCCCCCTTACATCAGAGCCACCCCCCTTACAATCAGAGTGCCCCCTTACATTAGATTCCTCTCCAGAGCCCACCCTTTACATCAGAGTCCCCCCCCCCCTTACATCAGAGCCACCCCCTTACATCAGAGTCACCCCCTTACATCAGAGTCCCCCCCTTACATCAGAGTCCCCCTTACATCAGAGTCACCCCCTTTACATCAGAGCCCCCCTTACATCAGAGTCCCACCCTTACATCAGAGCCACCCCCTTACATCAGAGTCCCCCCTTACATCAGAGTCCCCCCTTACATCAGAGTCCACCCCCTTAATCAGAGTCCCCCCCTTACATCAGAGCCACCCCCTTACATCAGAGTCTCCCCTTACATCCCCCCCCTTACATCAGAGCCACCCCCTTACATCAGAGTCCCCCTCCCCCCTACATCAGAGCCACCCCCTTACATCAGAGCACCCCCTTACATCAGAGTCCCCCTTACATCAGAGCCACCCCCTTACATCAGAGTGCCCCCTTACATTAGATTCCTCTCCAGAGCCCCCCCTTACATCAGGGTTCCCATCAGAGTCCCCCTCTTTCATTAGGGTGCCCCCATCAGAGTACTGGGAGCTGCTGTTGTCACTCACTTCTCCATCAGTCAGTCATTGTGTTAT